ATAAGAAATTCTAATTAAAAATAGCATTCAACTTTTCTTTCAGTGCTCATAAACTAAACCTTAGGCATTCTTTAAGGGAAATTAAATGTCTTTTTTTTTCTTTAACCATAACAGGATGAAGACAGCAGTTAAAACATATTTCCAAGGTTGCCACTGTTGATGGAAAATTCTACAGAAAGTTCTGCTTGGATAGACATAGACATAAAAATCAAAATCTTTAAATGCATTTAAGACATTAGTAACACCTAAATATGAGAAAGATATTAGTTCCCTTATTAACTAGACACTTAGCAAAGGAGTATATCTGTGTTTAACGTGTATCTATCTTTTAGATATACAGGAAAGAAACAGACAATATTCTGTAGAAATGTTGTCACTGAGGGAGAACTGAAAAGCTATTCGTGATCATATAAGCCATTCTCACCAACATTGATTAAATATAGTATTCCAAAAATCCCTAGTTAATGTTTTCTTCAATAAACTTTTTTCAATAAACTGTTTTTCAATGAACTTTAAAAATGTTTATTTTACAGGCACTTAGAAACTACCATATACTTGTGTACAACTACTAACTCTCATGCAATATAGTTCTTTATGAACCTATGTGTTCACATGCACGAACTCTGTTAGTTTGTCATATTTCTGCTTTTATACTGAATAAGATATATAACCATTTCACATGATATACAATAAGACATAGAGGAATTTTCATCATAAACAGGTAATATCTTTATAGTTTGGACTAATCATCATAGGTAAAAGAAATTGTAAAAAAAAGTCCAGAATATCCCAATCAGATCAGTTTCAGAGTTCAAGTTCATGATGTGCTTGCAGAAACAAGTTCAAACTAGCTATTCAACCTCTTGACAAAAAGGTATTTTATTAAAATAAATGTTAAGATGACAAAAGTATTTAAGACTATAATTGAATTGCCAGATAAATAATTATCTGCTAATGTAACTAATAAAAATGCTTTCTCCTTCCCTGCATATCATGTTAATGCCTGCTGCATATCAGAAGACAGAAATTAATCTTACATTTTTGCCCTCTTTTCTGATTCTTTTCAGAGATATCGTATTCAATTTAATTCAGAGGACATTTCATAACTTCCTTTAAAAAAAAAAATAAATAAACCCTAAAACTATTCAAGGTAACTAGGTAACAAGGGCTATTCATGCTTATTCAAGGTAAACCCAAAAGGGAGTCTGTTTTTGAAATTAATATTCCCTAAATTTTCACCATATACACAAATCAAAACCATTTTCCTTTTCCAGTATTTAATGGATGGTGAGGACTTATTTTCTAATCTGCTTCTCTCTTTTCAGATTGATGCTTTTTCTGACTTCCTTGAAATGCTTCATGGTAATTCCTTTGGAATATAGTGACTGATGCTGATGAGAAAAGAATGCATTAATTGCAGACTGCCCTAATAGATAACATGACCAACAAGTTACTCAAACCAAGAAAGTTATTTTTGCTTTCCACTGAAACTCTAACGAAGAGGAACCAAATGCCTTTCTAACCACAGGTGCCGGGCCTTCAAAAACAGCCGAGATCACTGAATAGTAATATGCTAGCCTTCTGGTACATTTTAACTGTTATCTTTTTCACAGTAATAAAAGCAAAGAGATAAATTCAGATTAAATCATAATGATGAAAACATAGCTGTTTAACTAAATTTTTCACACTAGGCATAGTACCAGAAGGCATTGCAATGCCTTGAAAAGAATGTATGACTCCTTATATAGAGATGGTTTCTTGTAAAATACATCACCAGCAAAGTTACTGTACAGGTATGTACGAGGGGATTCGATCAATGGGACAAAGGGATAGAGCTGTGTGTCAAATCTAATAAGAATGGATGAACTTGGAGATAAGCCCGATGACACAGTTTGTACCAAATTCTGCTACTGATCTGCTGCATAACCTTGGCACATATTCATTTTTGTGCTTTAACTTAGACAATAGAGTTAGCACATTTTTAGAATATTAAAAGAACACTGATGAATAGTGGTTAAATCATTAAAGCATAACAGTCTCATTCCTCCTTTCGTATTAAAATGCGTAAGATGCAATCTTAAGGCAATGCATATATGTAACTTAGCTTTAATTTGAAAAGATTAGGCATAATCTTACTTTGAGTGAACACCCCAGTTCCCATTTACATACAGACAATAATTGCTTCTTTTGAGGCAGTAAGTAACTCTATAAAAGAAAGCCAACCAAGAATTCTTCAGCTAGAAGAATGTACAGGCAATTCAAATACAAACGAAATGACAGTTATAAATGAAACCTCCCAAAAGTTTATTTTTCTTACCTGCTGGTTTACTGGAAAATTCCTGTTGATTTTTTTTATCTAGGAAAATGAATTAAAAAATAGATTAATAAGTAAACTCAGTTACTAGAAGAATAAACATTAGATTTTAGAGACATATATCAGACACTTCCTTCCAAATAATACTTGTTAAAAACAAAAGAGAATCTTCTGCAGTAAAGGGACTGCTACCTTTGACAAGCTGATGTGAGTAATGGGACATTTCCTCAATCACTGTGTGATTTGTTCAGACTGCTTTTCAGAATATAGGAGAGGAGAATATAGGCAAAATTATTTCTGAATTTTACAATACTATTTATTTTGCTTACTTTCTTACTAGAAGTCATAATTTAAACCAGACTAATGAAGTATATGAGTACTTCAGAAGAACTTACAGTCATCCACCAAGTCATCAAGACTTAAAGGACATTCTTTCCCCTAGAGAATGATGGAAAAATGGGCTGGAATAGCCTCTGTAAAATCACTTTGTCCCTCTGACCTAGGTTCAGAATCAAGTGTACAAAAATCAGTGCTGATAATTGCTCAAGTGACTGGTTCTCAAAAACATTCAACAATATCTATAGGTACAGAGTAAAGAGGAACCTCTTCTGAGACACCTGAATCATAAGGAGTTCGTATTTAGCCCTAGAGATCATTGACTCCCTCTAAATGAATAGCATCAGCAATCTGACACAAAAGTTCCCAATAAAAGGAGACTTTAAATGTTGAATAGACCCATTCCTGCCAATAATAGAGGGATTTGGGTCTTTCTAATTTTATTTTAAGCATAAGGCCTGAAAGCTTTTGAGCAAATTTAGTAAATCTACCATCTGCGTTCCTGACTGACAGTTAATCCCTCAAATTTATTTTTTGCTCTCTTATGTCAATTTTTCATAGTTGTTTTTGCAGTTATGGGGAAAATAAATAGAATTGGTAGAGCCAACCAAGACCTGAATCCGCAATGTAACATTCAAACCACTTCAATGAAAGGTATGGCCTCTTTTTAAAACAAAAGATCAATTACCACTGAATTTCTGCCAGTGTTTACAATATCATCTCTAAACAACTATACACAAAGATGAAAGTGGCACTACGGTTGGCAGACTTTTTTTTTTTTTTTTTAAAGATTTACTGCAATGGCAACCCCTTATCCATTTCTCATGCAAATACTGGCATATCTGTAAGGCTTCCAATGACATCCCACAGCTTCACTATCAAAGGATAATTCTCACTGGCAGGATCATGCTGGCAAATGCTGAATTAAAGTTGTGTTTCAAATGCATCCTAAATTAAAAGTTTCATAAAAACACTTCCACCCTCCTTTCACAAACGAACATCAACTTCAGTTTCATCCTTTCTTTAAGGTGTAAATCAAGAGCAAGCATTAGCAGAGCTAGGACATTCAGTGGATAATATGTTAAAATATAATGAATCCACATTTCAACAGACACCAACTATCTTACGGAATTTCTCAGAAGAAAAGGTAGATTAAAAACATAGTTATGTGACAGACATATAAAGATTTCAAGACTTTGGGGATTTGTTCCTAAATTTGATGTGAAATACTCCAGCACAATAAATTCCTATGCTAGTGTGTACTTTCAAAATCTTTATCACAATTGTGGATTTTCTTATATTTTAAGTAAGGATTACAGCCAATACTGTGAAAAATTTAACTTAAAAGAACATCATCAAGGAACAGAGATTTTACTATTCTAAACAAAATATTGAAAATACGTTTTGAGAGGCGAGATACAGCCACATAAGATATCCTACGATATTTCAGTAAATGCATTTCTGTTTACTTCATATAGAGAGATTAAGGTTTTTAACAGATCTAAAGTACAATAGGAGCCTTGTGTATTTCCAGACATGCCTGAGAAACTTAAATGCACCATTAAAACACATTTTTCCATTCGTAAATTCCCAGTTCATTTTTGAAAGTGGGATTTAAGCACCTATATTGCCTAGATATTTTAACTGTTGTAACTCTGCGGAGTTAGAACAGTCATGGTTATATTTCAGGTAGCGTGGTGACGATTTCTAAAGTTTGATTTGAAACGCATTATTTTTAGTTATAGTAGGAATTTGCAAGTGGCATTACAGAAGTTCAGTTCCACTTGGAATTAACATTTGTAAAGTATGATTAGTTTCAGGAACCACTAAATGTTGACCATTTACTGATTTACCTACACTGATATTGGGTGTTCTATTCACCCTTATAATTATGGAGCAAGCATCACAGATCTTTAAAATTACATGATCCATTGTCCTGAGAATATTGACAGAAACACACTAAGAAATATAGTTCTTCCTGATATGTTACAAAGTGCACCAACTAAAATCTAATCCACAGATGATGCAGATACATGGATCCTTAAGAACGAAAATCTAAATGTAATCTTTTTTTTTTTTTAATGAAGAAAGCAAAAATTATTTTCTATTACTTGAGACAGAATGTTATCTAAAAGAGAAATGCTTCTTTGGTATTCCATTACCATTCCATTAATGGTAACACTACTATTTATTAAGCACAATAATAGCACACCACACTGTGTAATGGATATCAAATGAATAACACTTGTTTTTCCCGGGCGATTAACAAACAGAAGACAGCTGCATCATACACTGTAGCATAAATCAGCAAAACACAAATGCCCATAATATTTTTCAATAAAACATGCTGACCAATATTATACTAAGAAAGAAAGGAGGGTATTCCTAGAAAATTCATTAGAAAGATGTTCCTACCATAAAGAGTGGTAAAAAATCAGGAGGGTCACAAGAGAAGACAAAAGGAGAAGCTAGTAAGCTAGTAAACAAATTATGTTAGGAAGATAAAGTTACAGGAAACATTACGAAAGCTCAACTGACGCTAACAAGAACTAACTACTACTACTTTATCTCTAGAAAAACAGGTGTGGAAGGGTTAAACTTTATTCTGGTACAACTGAATATAGCTTAGGATAAAAATTCTAAGAATGCTGTAGAGAATGTAGTTGTGGGATTTTGTGATCATCTAAACATGGGAGAAAGAAGAAAGGGTCAAAAATAAGGTGACTGCAATATGTTGCATCTGACTAATAAAAAGGCAAGTGATGTTGATAAGAGATGAAGAGTGCAAGAGATTTAGCAGAAAATATCTTATAAGACTGGTTTGAAGCGTAATTAATTTGTGATGGCGGTAGGAACAAATATGACTACCTATATTTCAAAAATCCACCTGGGCAAATACGTTAGGACACCAGGGCTATGAATAGCACTAGCCAGGGAAATGACATGAAGTGATGCTAAGAAATGAATGAACCATGTCCAAATTCAGTTAATTTGTGCACTAGATGTTCACCTAGATGGATAGTTTTCACAGTGATAGCTGCGCCTGATCCACAGAAGAAACGAGAAATGACAACACAGAATACATCACTCCTCAGCAGGGTGAGCAGGGTTCATGCTCAGGTGTACACAATGATCACAACTATTTTTCTTTAACTGCCTCAATGCCACAGAAGCAGGAATTCCCTCCATACTAATTCATGGGAATTGTTTCCTATTTTTGTTGGAACGCAGCTGATTAAGCTCATCAAAACAGGTTTTTAAACTTTCGCATTCAACTGCAAATGAACAGAATTTTTCACTCCTCTGAGAGCCACTGTTTCAGATTTTCTTTAAGTAAATATCACTACAAGAGCTATTTTGACTTCTCATAAGAGGATTTTAAAGTATCATCTCAAAACTGGTATTTATTAGGGGTTTGTTTGACCTTTTTACTTATTTATTTTAATGATATTTGCTATTCCAATGCAATCACAGGACCCTCATGAGATGATGGGGAAATGTGCCTTTCAATGAGCACATATAGCCCTAACAACTGTTAAGAGAAGTATGAACTAGAGAAGAATTATATGGTAAACTAGAGGCTCACAATTCTAAGGAGATACTGGTAAAGACATTTAATCTACAGTGGGGGTCTCAGGTACCACACCTGGCTCTCCGGAACAAGCAGTGGTACAATAGGTGTTAGTGGCCAGGAAAGTGTGCCTGATAGAGACTTTTCTCTCAAAGTACATATAGCTAGCTCCAAGACTGAAGGGCAACATTTGGAATGAGCGGACTCCAGCTCCTGCTTAGTATTTGATTGACTTGGACAGTAGATCAGATTCTCCCATAGTTTCACATATGATTTGGTCTATCTTTTGCTTGCAGCCTGTAGCTTTTGCTGGTCTTCTTCCTCATCAGAAATTTCCTAATTAAAAAAAGAATCCTTTATTATTTTAATTTATGCTGGCCACATATCCATATTTCCCTAAACAATTTAGTCTTTGCAGCCTTCTTTATCAATTGTTTGCATAACTGCTCATTTACATTATTTAAAATATAATTAAAACATAATAGCTTGACAAGAATGTAAATTCATTAAGTAGTTTCAAATATTATCTCATACATTAAAGCACCAAAAGAGCTCACACCATTGGGATGCTTGGCGATAGCAAACAAGTAGTGAGATCATTATAATTTGGAGTAATTAGGAAAAAAGTATGAAACCTTCCTGTGATAATCTTGTGTTAATGGATGAGAAAAAAGAGTAAATAAAATTAACTGTTGGAATTATGGGTTAGTCTTGCATATTGTTCTCGCTAGACTTTTCTTTAGTAGGTCAATAAAAACTTTAATTTCAATACCTTTTGCCTAATTACGGTTATGAAGAAATTGAAAATTAGGCTAATTAGCTTGAAAAATAAATAGCTTGAAAATATTCAGAGAGTTTATAGTTTTCCACTGTTACAGGAGTCATGTGACAATTTACAATGTGAGAAGTAAATTGTGGTAAGGTTGTGAAACTTCGTTATTCAAGAGTGCACGTGCACTGACAATAGCAAAGAATCAGAGAAAATTTGAAAGAAACATGGAACAATGGATAAAAATTAATTCACATGAAATATATCGTACTTTAGTGAATATGTTCAAATATATGCATACCTGGATGGAGACTGTATTTGGAACTTCTCGTTGTTGGTCTTACAAGCTGCAGTAGATTTTTAGAG